TCAGAACCTAGGGTGTGGTGTTGTTCTGTAAGGCTGCAGACACAGGTACAGGCTGCCAAGCTCTCTCCTAAAACTATCAGACCTGATGCTGTTCTTTCGGGAGAGCCAGAATGGGCATAAGGAAAGGTGAGCAGAAGAGGAGGCAGCTCTGTGCCTCCTCTGTGCCAGTGGGAAGTCAGGAATTAATTCTAGATGTTGTTTGGTTTTTGCGTGTTGGTTTTGCCATGATTTCTCAACTCTCTTTCTGTCAAAACACACATTTTCTCACTCCACCCTTTTGTTCCTCTCCCGCATGGCACAGAGGGGGAGTGAGTGAGCAGCTGTGTGGGGCTGAGCTGCCCGATGGGGGCAGGGGCAGGAGGTGCCCACAGCCTTGTCCTGTTCAGTTGTGAATGTTCTCAAGAATGGAACTTGCAGAGTCTGGGGTATTTCAACTCAGTGTCAGATGCCCCTCAACATTTTCTTCTGCACGCTAAACCAGCCCAGATCTCCCAGGCTCTCCTTTTATGTCAGCTGTTCCCTTCCTTGTGTTCATGGCCCTCCATTGCATTTGTTCCCCTCTGTCCATGTCCTTCCCAGGCCTGGGAGCCCAGCAGGGCACACATTGGTCCCCAGTCCCAGCAGTGCTGAGCTGAAGAGGATTCCTCCCCAGGGAGCAAGGAGTCAGGACAACATGCCAGGAGGCTGCACGGACAAACGAGGCTGGGAAAACGTGGGCCCAGTGCTGAATGGGATGGGGACCAGGTGACACAGGATATGGGACAGGGCTGAGGTCCTGAATGCTTTCTTCACCTCAGGCTTCAGCAGCCAGATCAGCCTTCAGGAATTTCATTTCCCAGAGCCCAGGAGGAGAGGCTGGGAGGAGGAATATGTACCCTTGCACAATCCATGTCACTGAACCATGGCCATAATGAAAGGATTTGTCCAGTAGGTTTGCAGGGAAGTCAGTGCTGGGAGCTCAACTGAATGAAGAATGCACAACATCCACTCTCTCCTCACCCAGCAAGACCCTTTGTCTCCCTGTTGAAGGCTGTCAATGTGGCTAAGCCAAATTCCCACTTACCAAAGCCATGCAGACTGTCCCTAAAGAAAAAGGGCTGGGAGCCAAGGCAAGGCACAGAGGAGAAATGAGGCTGTGCTGGACAGGAGCCCAGGCAATGTGCACTAAACCTGCACTTCCCCAAACTGCAGCCTCTGCAGTTGCCAGGACAGATCCTCCTGCACCATCAATGGTGCCAGCCCTTCTGGCAGCCTCCCTCCAGTGCCTTCTAGTGCCACCAGGCCAGAGGGACGTTTCCTGCACCTGCCATTGCCTGACAAGAGCCCTGGGCAGCAGCTGCCAGAAAGAAATGCTGAGAGATCTGTCATCCCCATCTGCTGGTTTTTGGTTCACTCTGCTGCACAGCTGCTCCAGGGTGGTTCTTGCTCCACAGTAATACGTTGCTGCATCGCCTGGGGTTGCTGCCAGGAGCTGCAGAGTGAAGCTGTTCTTGGACCTCTGCAGTTTTCCTTTAAAGCGACCTTGGAAACCTTCTCCATATTTATTACCACTGTGGTAAATCCATTCCAGAGAGCCCCGTGGGCCCTGACGGTACCAGTACATGTAGTAGTTGCTCATTGCACCTCCCTTCCTGCTGCAGTGGAAGGTGACTTCATCTCCCTCTCGCAGGGTCACTTCCCTGGGGTTCTGCTCCAAGGTCACCTGGCCAGTGACTGCTGCAGAGAGCAAGAACGAGCCACAGTCATTCCAAGATGCAGCAAAGGTCACGGCAATGCTGGAGGGGCTTTGGACTGGCACTGGACATGTAGGACAACAAAATCCTCCTCTTGGAAGCCAGCTGACACAGATGGGCAGAGCTGGTGGCATCTAGCAAGGCTCACAAGGAAGGAGACACCACATTTCCCTCCATCCTTTTCCCAGTCACACAGGAAGCTTTTTCTGATTTTCCCCAAAGAAGCAGGAAGGATTTGCACCATGGCGGGACAATAAATTCCTTTGTCCTTGCCAAGACAGGATGGTGAGGAACCCAGTGTCCTGTCCCTGAAGCTGCTGTGGGTGAGCAGAGCAAAGACCAAGGGCTGTCCCAGGCAGTGGGGCCTGTGCCCTGTGCTGCCATGGCCCAGCTGGTCTGTGCCAGAGGGGCGGCAGTGGCCCAGGAGCAGTGTCCAGTGCCAGGGCAAAGCGCTGGGCCCCGAGATGTGAGTGCAGCAGGGAGGTGGCCTGCGTGTGGCCAGGCTGCAGAGGAGGCAGCTGGCATGGAGGTGCCGAGCTCAGAGGCACAAGAGGAGCAGGGCTGCTCTCGCCGTGCTCCACAGGCAGGGCTGGGCAGCTGGAGCCGGGGCACAGCTGCGGCTGCAAGCGCTCAGCACAGCTGCCCAGAGCCCTGCAGAGCCCAGGGCCACGCTCAGCTCCTGGGGCCAGCAGCCCTTGCCTTCACTTACCTACAATGGGCAAGAAGCCCAGGCACAGGGCACTCCACATGGCCAGGCCCGCTCTCAGTGGCCTCTCTGCAGCTTCTCTGGGCCTGCACAACAGCTCTGCCCACACCTGCCCTGCCTGGGCCTCTGTCACTGCTCTCAGGCCCAGGCCCTGCTGGTCCCTCCCTCTGCCTATGACAACACTGAGGGGGAGAGGTGGGGCACCAGGAGCACAACTTGAAGCTCTTGCTGCCCTCCTGCCTGTCTCTCACCCTGCGTGGTCCCCATCTTTCTCTTAAGCCCTCTCCATATTCACACTTTGTGTGATCCTGTGGAAGAGCCTCTGGCTTGATTTGGAATGACTCAGTGGGAACTCTAGATTGGGAAATTCCAGTCCTAAACCACAACAGCCTCCTTTGGCATCCAGTGTAGGGCATGAAGGGTTGAGATAAGACCAGATCTGCCCAGAGTGGGCTGCAGACCAATCTGATCTCAGCATTAGTTGTATCAGGTCTGGAGCCAGTGGTGCCAATGCTGCTGGGTCTGTTCCTGTGGCTGTGGGACCTAACCCTGTGTGTGTTCCCCTATGAGCTCCCCATGCTGATATTGTGCAGGGCTGTGGGCACTGAGAAGGGGACTGGGGAGAGGACAGCAACTCTCAGCCTCTGGAGGTGGCTCCTGTCAAGTGTTAGAGAAAGATACTGTCCCAAGGATGATCTAGTAGTGCTCCCAGGCAGGTGGAAGCCCATGGCCAGAGACTCTATTTGTCATCAAAATCAAACTGTGTGTGCACAGTGCCTCTTAGAGGTGTCCATTTTATGAGGGCTGGGGTGTCTCTTCTCTGTCTCCTTGCAGGTTATGTTTCAGTACAGGTCACAAAAGAGGAATTTCCCTGGTTGTCAAAGGCTTTGGCATAGCCAGGAGTCAACTGAGGCCCTCCCTACAGAAATCCTAGATTTGAGATCTCTTTTCAAATTGTGCTTTAGGGAGACAGACATTGCCTGGAGCTCTGCACTCCCCAGTCCTGAATAGATTTGCAGGGGGAAGATTGGGTTCTAATTCCTTCAGTTCAGAGAACATCTGCTGACTGAAATATAAGTCAAAGAGAGAACTTGCCTTACAGTCAGGTAATTAACCATACTCCTTTTGAGTTTCTGTTTATGTTAGATCTAATTTTGTCAGGAAGTTTATGGGATTTTGGGTCACAACAGAGATAGGTCAGATTATGCCTAACAGATGCAGGAATATGATTATTACATTGCATTTCTAATGTGGTATAAGAACACTGGAGGGTTCAGTGGTACAAAAATGTGTTTAGTATTGCCCATTCTCATGGTGTTCTTCACTATGTTTTCCCATGTAACCTCTTGGAGAAAGCTTTATTCTTTCAGGATGCTTTTAATATTCTCTGCCACTGGAGAGAGCTCTCACCATTTTGACTTGATCAGCAGGACAGATGTCAGATACCACACTGCATGTTAGAGAATCAAGGCATTCCTTTATTCTGGCTAGGAGGTGCAACCAAAATCATTTCATCCACACATTGCACGGGTTGTGCAGAGAAAATCCTTCCCTCACACAAGGTTTTCATTGGAGTTTTCTTCTACATCTACAGTTGCAACCCAGGGAAATTAATTGGTTCAATGCTCATTGCTCCCAAGTTCCACAGTTTGTAGTATTTGATTTTTTTTATTGATCCCTGCACCTTGGATGTTATATTGGTTGTCAGTCTTGGTTCTCTCATCGAACTTTCCCAGACCAGGTGTCTCTGACCTTGCCAGGGCTGGTGTTTGGAGCTGATGTTCATTAATGGTCTTTATCTTTTGTGTATCTTCTGTGCTGCTCCCAGTCTGCTGGGATGTTTTATATGTCTGCTGAAATTTCTTGATATAGTTTTAGTCAGGGCATTTGTTCACCTTTGCCCAGGGGAGAAGGAACTGAAGTTTCTTTTCAAAGGACTGTTTCAGCACGGCAGGGCCTGAGGGTGTGAGCAGAGCAAGCTCAGTGCAGCAGCCCTTGCTGTGTGCCGTGCAGAGGCTCTCTTGAGGGCTGCAGGAACTCAGGCAGGGGCAGCAAAGCCTTATTTCCCCTTCAGGATGTGGTTACCTTGTGTTTTCAAAAGCAGGGGAGGGTTGATGCTGCCTGGTGTGACTGAGTCAGAAATGGTGACCACAGCATCCTGCCTGTAGCTGGTGAGAGGGGCATGAGCTGGGGAAGGTGTGGGCTGGGCTCTGTTAGGTAAGAGCCAAGTTGCTATGGAAACTATCACTCCATCAAAGCAGCCCAGATTATTTTCTGGTGGCCCCTGCCTCCTGTCCCTGAGTGCAAAACAGCAGCAGGGTTTCTTCCCTGCTGACAGGAGCATTTTCCTCCCTCGTGCCTTCAGCAAGGACTCTCCTGACTGAGGCTCCTGAATGTGCCAGAGACATTTCCCTGCACCAAGTCTGCAAAAGGCAAATTCAGCCAACAGGAAATCTGCAATATCAAAGCTGTGTTTCTGATCCCAGTGGGCTTCTAGGGTAGTTAGATTTCAGCAATTTCCATCCTAGTTTCAGAAGAATAAGCACAAAAAACCAACAAGATTTTGGGCTAGCAGAACTTTATTATTGTCCCTACTGCAGAAACCTAAAATGCACATGCAATACATTTGGCAGAAGAAATACAGGCTTAATCAAGAAGTGAACATTATCTAGTTGAATAAAATCAGATTCTACAGAGCTCTTCTTATCTGCAATACACACTTATTAAATCATTCTAAACCCTAAGCTACAAAAGGCAGCTTCTGGGCTGGAATTCCCCAGCAGTGCTACTCCAGTTCCTCAGGCAGTAACACAACGTGCCTGGGAAAGGTGCTTCTCAAAGGCATCTCTCAGCAGTGAGCACTGGAGTTTTCAAAGCTACTGAAGCAGGTTGGACACTGGTGTGCAAATGGCAGAAGAGTGGGAGGGATCTCCTTAGCAGGAGGATGAGGATAAATCCACTGTGCTCAGTTGTCAGAGGAGAGGAAAGAGCAAAAGCACTTAAAACTCTTCAGTGTAAATCAGCTGGCCAGGCAGGAGTGAAGAGTGTTGCATGTCTGCAGGGGAAGGTGCTGCCTTGTGTCCTGGCTGGTCTCTGTCAGCAGCTCTGGCCCTGCTGGTTCAACCCCTTGTGCTGCTGGTTCACGCTCTTTGCTGCTCTTCTTTGGGTTCATTGCCCATGTCTGGAAGAGCAAAGGGAGGTTTAAAGTACATTTAATGAAATTGGGCCTATGAAGCATTGTTTGATAACTGTGAGCTCCCTTACCCCAGAAAAGAAACAACTTGATGCTCATGAGGGCATTGAAGGCGATGCTCTTTGCCAGCAGGACTCTCAACCCCAACACAGCCATGGTCAGCATGCTCACTCTCTGCCCTCCAGCATCTGCTCAGTGACCAGAAAAGAGGGGAGACATCATGGTCTAGGTTTTGGTGCTGTGATCTTGGCAGAAAGTGGAAAATCCACAGGTGAGAGTTTCAGGGAAAGGAAGAGCAGCAAAGGAACAGCCGAGAGAGAACATGGCAACAAGAGGGGAGCCCAGGGTCTGTCTCTGTTGCTTTTTGCTTCCTGGGGCTTGTGTGTAACTGCAGGAGCAACCTTGGAACAGCAGCTTGTGTGTGCTGAATGTGTTGTGTTCTGAGTCCTGTGCCCTGGAGAAAATACATTTCCCTGCCTTTATCCCGCAGAGAGCAATGTAACCTCAGATCGTGTTTGGGTAACTCACCTTGTGCTGAGGGCTCTGTGCTGTTGCAAACTCTGTCAGTGGCCCCTGACTCTGTTCTGGTTCTGTTTGGTTCCCCAAACCCTGTTATTGGTTCTTCAGCCTCGGCTTCTGTAGCACGATAAAGAAAAGGCATTTTAGACTATATCCACCTTTTATAGAGGATAAGAAGAAAATGTTTAGATGACATTTCTCATAGAACATCGGAGGAAAGATCAGAGTGGGCCTCAGCTGGTCAGGAATAATTCCAACATTAATTTGAGCAGACAATTTCTCCATGCAGTTGCAAGAAACAGAAGAATTCCTGCATTGTGTCGTTTTACTCTTTGAATGACCTTCAGGACTAAAAGAGTAAACACGCCAAATATAACAATTCATTTAATTAAAAAACCCTCACAACACACCCCACCTTTAACTTTGTGTTCGTATTGAAAGGGCTCTTCCAACTTGTACTGCAGGCGGTTTCCTGCTCTAGGCTAAAGTATTCAGTCATAAGGAAATTCACATTTTGAAGCAATAGATTGTGTCTTTTCTCCCCAGAAAAGTATCTCAAAGTAATTAAACAGTTGAAACCATTTCTTTCAGATGCTTTGAAACATCTTTCAGCTTTCCATGCTGAAATCGCAAATGTCTTTCTTATTTCTGCTGTCTGCCCAGGGCAGTGCTGTCCAGAAGGAGAACACCAAGCCCCACAGGCCACTGTCTCCAGAAATAAGTGACAGCTGTGCCACCAAACTGTACCTGGCTTTGCTGTTATGGTGCGGTCGCCGAATTTGGCCGTGCAGGTCACCTCTGTGTCTTTTGTCACCCTGACCACTTTAATTGCATTGTACAACCCCTGTGACGTCAGAATGGATGGGCTCTGTTCATAGACCACCTCCTGAGAGGGCATCTCCAAGCTGATGTACTTTGTAGGGAAGTTCTTTGCCAAACAAGCTGCTTTCCCAGAGCTGCCACCTCCTTCCAGTTTCTTTGATTTCATCACAATGACTTTGGGATCAGAAGTTTTTGAAATGCCTGAAAAGAAAAGCAAGGTTTGGACAGGATTGATTTTACTGCAGGCTTGCCCGGGTGCTGAGTGACCCAAAATTCACATGTACTTTATCTGTGACTAATTTGTAACATTCTCATTTACTGTCTTTGATGTCATTATTCCTTGCTATTAGAGGTACAAGTAACAAAAGAAGATTGCTTAAACTTGCAACCCAGCTGTTTTACAAGAAAACTATTGGTGTCAAAAGAATTTAGTTGCCAACAAATCATTGTGGTACCATAATTTGTTTATAAGAGAAAATACCCTTCCCTCTAGGTCAGATCACATTTGGAGAATCAAGGGTGATCTCACAAACCAATGTCAGGATTTAACTCAGATTAGCAATTTGACTTAGAGGAAAACCATGGAACTGAAAGGAATCCTCCAGCAGCCTTCCTTGCCAGAAAGGGCTCAGCTTATGAAAAGCTGTCAGACTCATCCACAAAGACTGACCTGTCTGCTTTGACAGGAGCATCCTGAGGGGTCTCTTGGGTAAGGAGAGGTGCATGAGGCTTTTCATTTAGCATGGTGTCTGCCTTGCAGGTGGGTCAGGAGATCCCTCAGCTCTGACATTTTGTTCATCCCAGGGTACTGATGGAAGTTTGATCAAGGGGCTCTGATTTTACACCCTTTCCCCATCAGCCCTATGCCACTGCTGAGGAACTGAGGTGAAAGCCAAATCGTGCTCTGCCACAACTTCATGGGTCAGCTCTCGTGATCAAACAGGCAGAACTACACACTTGTCCACACCTGCAGCAACCAGACACCCACCAGAAATCCAACATTTCCTTCCCAGCTGTTGTACCAGGCTTGGCCAGAGCCTGTCAGTCCTGTGCATTCTGTGTTCTCTGAGAAGACCTTGAAAGGCTTTTCATGTGGTCTCCTCTCCAGGCTTTCCAAAGAGCCAGAACACAAACAGGCAGCTTCTCTGCAGTAGCTCCCTGGGCAGGATCTTCAGCAAGCAATAATGCACACAGTGCAATTGCAGTTCAGAGAGCAGAAGATTTGTTTTATCTGACCCCAGAAGGCTCACCCAAGTCCCACTTGTTTGCATTCCCTGGCAGTACAGCCATGAATTCCTACCACTGCTTTCTTCTGGAAGGGATTAATCTTTTCTGTTTATGTTCAAATTTATTTGATCAAAAGGGGGAGGTTGCTCACATCCTGGAAACTTTGGCTTCAACACATTAAGTATTTCAGCAGACTCAAACGGGACTTTGATACTTCAGGTTCAATGTATTTTACTACCAAACATAATTCCAGACTTTCTGTGCAGGATACTGTGAAAATATCCTGTCATTAGCTAGAAAAAGAAAGCCATTGAACAGCAAGGAAAGTAGAGGTCTTTCTGCAGAATGGTGAATTTACATTCCTTTGTCCCTTTGAAATTGGAAATGCAGTGAGATTGTTCCCAAATCCCCATTTATTCCCATGCACCATATCCTACAGACATGGACAGATATTAGGCAGCACCCAAGGCAGTCCCACATCTTTCTGAAGGAGAGCAGGAGGTTTAAGGGATGTAAAATAACGTGGGATATTCTTGCCGCACTTTAAAGTCATGTGGACGTCTGAAAGCAAAGCAACAATTCCCGAGGGATGCACCTGATACTTTAGGACCACAGAGGTCATATCAAAACCCCTCTGCCACCCCAACATTCCCATTTCCCTAGAAAAGCTTGGGGTGACCTGCACCTTTATGGTTCATCACAGAATTCCAAACAAAGATAGGATAGGAATAAGTAAGGCTTCTTATAATCCCTATTCCCCACATTGCTCTTTGCAGAACCCACACAACCTGGGAGCCAATTGTCTTTCATTCCAGGAGCTCTTGGATATGAGGCACTTGTGAGAATTTAAGCCCAAGGCTATTTCCCGTCCTTCCTGCTCTGCTTCCAGGGCAGTGGACACTGTCAGTGTGGTGCCAGTGTCAAACCAGAACTTCTCCAGCCAGGAGTTACAGATGTGTCTAAAACTCCTCATACTGGGAGCTCTTCACTGAGCTCTGCATTCCTGCCCCAAGTCAGTCAGTGCAAGCCCGCTGGAGAATTGGACACTGGACAGTAAATTTGGGCCAGAGTGCTGCCCAAAGTGGGAATAAGTTATCACAGGCTAAGCAGTGCCCTGCTGGTCTTTGGGGATCATGGAATAATGCTGTATGCAGAGTCAGCCCAGTTGTTCCTGGGAAACCTTCCTGAGCAAATCCAAGCTGAGGGTTTGGCTTGAAAGCCTGGCTGGAGAGCGAGTGCATTCAAGGGATTATTGCAGCTGAAAATCCTTTCATTGAGCCCAACCCTTTAAATTCCCTTGTTCTCCCCCACATTAATTGTCAGTGAAGTTTTAGTAAGAAAGAAATGTCACTTACTTGGTTCAACTGTGAGAATCGTCCCTGGTCCAAATATAAGCTTATCTGTCTTCACACTGCTAAGACTTATTCCAATAACTCACTCTTTCCTCGTGGAGTTCAAAAGTGTTCCAAAAACAGGTGATGAAAATCCATTAGTCCTGATTATCCATGGGTGCAAGTCCATGAGAGGATCCAGAGGTAGATTTACTTCCAAAACTGGAAAGGGAATAAAGGTAAATTGAATTGTTTTAAATAGCTTGATTGAGTATAGAATTTTCAACTTCTCCCTTTACTTCGTCTTTTAGAACCTTCGTGAGCTCTTTTATGTATCCAGGATACAAGGAAATATAGGAAGAATGTTGTTCTTCTCTTCTTAATCCTTAGAGTCACCCATCTCCTTTCTTTCCCAAAATTTCTCACCTTCTTTCCCTCTTTCTGTTTTTGTACAGGTCCCTATGCTGTTCATATCATTGTGGTAACCCAGTCCAAAACACAGTGATATATTTCATAACACAAACTGTCTCTGTTCCACTACACAGAATATTGGATTATTCAGGCAGTCAGATGACATCTTCAGTGGTTTGAGATCCAACGCACCACATGAAGAAACACCACATGGCTTTCAAGGAAGGATCTCCAATAATATCATAGGGGTTGAGTTGTAAATGAGAACTTGGGTGTTATGTGACACCTGTGAAAGATCTGATGGAGTTTAGCTGGATAGAAAGCAGAAAAATAATCAGTACCTCTGGTGTTATTTCAGAGCATTTCTTGCAATGCAGTCTAATCCCCCTACTTCTCTTCTTGTCGATACTAGTGGTAGTGTGAACAGAGTTCTGGGATGTAGCAGGCTGTCTCTGGGGGTGTTGGGAGGATTGGATTAAAAACAGAAGACACAGGAGCGTTGTAAATTGCTGAAGTGACCTTCCAGCTGGGAATTACCCTTGGCAGCCCAGGGTGAATGCATCCAGGGATCCTCTAGCATGGATGCAGTTTAGATGTCACTGTCTCTCCTTGCCTCTGCCTGGCTGTTGCTCAGGGATTCCCCCAGGTTAGCAAGGTCTGGAAATAATTGTACTCTGAGTGTGTCTGCAGCTGTTCCATCTGCTGACTGTCGTGCCTAACTTAAGTGATGGTGGCTGTCCTAGTTTGAAAGACAAGTGCCTGCCAAGGAAGGCAGGAACCACCCATGGAGTGGAGAATATTCCCTCCAACTTAATACAACTTTGAAATAAAGTGACTTTCTGGCACACACACAGGAAAGGGAATAACAGTTGTTTTCCAGTATGTGTATGTATAACAACTCAAACAAACAACAGCAGTAGCACCAAACAGACCCAGACACCCAGGCCCGGCCTCTCTCGGCCGCAGGCGCTTTTCCCTTCGGTGCAGTTCCGGGCACAGCCAGCAGGGGCGCTGCTGGCTGCAGGCCGGGCAGGGCGGGTGCGGTGATTCCCCCGCGCCAGCAGGGGGCGCTGTGGCGCGAGCTCGGCCGCCTCTCTGCATGTGGGTACTGGTGGGTGGGCAGGCAGGAGAGATGGAGAAGGGGCTCCCTTTACAATCCCACAGGAGCAGCCAGTCCCAGTGCCCCTCTGGATACTGAAACCAGCTCCAGCAGGAACCTTGGAGCAGCAGGCTGCAACGGCAGAGGTGAGAACACTCACAGTGGTAAACCAAGTGTAGGGGAAATTCTGAAGCTGCAGCAGGAGCCACGGGTGTCTGGGCAGACAAGGGGTGTCAAGTTATAGTGTCGCAAAAATCCCTGAAGCAGTGGCAGACAACAGCAGGCCTGGGTGGGGGATTTCTCCTTTGGACAGCTCCCTGGCAATGGCTGGTGCTGGGATCAGCAGTGTGCTCCTGCCTCCCTGCTCCTGGTGTAGCACACACTGGTTCTAGGCTTGCAAGTGACAGGGAAGCAGAGAATCAAGCTGGCAATCCCTACTCACAGTGCCAAAGGAAAAGAAAGAAGGAAAAACAGGCAAAAAGCACAGGGCAACAGTGTCACCAGTCAGACACCCTCGCCGTGTGGCTCCTGAGTTGAGCAGCCCCTCTGGAAGGAAGCAGCAACCAACTCTCAGGGGATCCCTGCTGCTCCTCGCCCATCGAGGTACTTCCTGAGCCAGGGGAGTCAATGACCATTCTGAACACAAAACAAAGACAAGCCCATGAATGGGTAGGGAATTTAAGCCATTCCCAAGACAGGAATACGGGTAGAAAACATGAGAGGAATGGGAAGAAATAGGTGAGGCTTTTGTGGGACAAATGGGACATCCCTGGGCTCTGGTCCTCATGGGGTGCTTGAAGCGTGTCAGGTGTCTGCTGGCAGGAAAGCACACCTGAGCACATGCAGTCAGGAGTTTTCTGGCACGTACTGATGTGAGCTTACTAACACAAATGGCTGTGAGCTGGACCTGTGTGTGCCACTGAGGCAGAATTGGTGGTTGGGGCAGCCTTGGCTGCAGTGACCATGCACTGTTTGAGCTCAGGATCCTGGGAGAAGAGAGCAATGCAAAAACAGGACTGGAGCCCTGGGCTTCAGGAGAGCAGAATCTGGGATCTTCTGGGAGGAATCCCAAGGGTTATGGTTCTGGACAGAGGAGGGGTCTAGGAGAGCTGCTCACGTTCAGAGATTTGCTTTTTGAACCTCAAGAATAGTTTCTCTTGACAAAGCAGTAAGTCAAGCTTTGTGTCAGATGTCCAAAATGATGAACAAAGGGCTCCTAAATCAACTCATAAGTGGTTAATACAGAAGGTTCCTGCTGAGTTGTTCAACTGGCCATGATGATCAACTGTTGAAAATGATCTGTTTGCAAGAGCCAAGATCTCAGGTTGAATGGTGAGGAAATTGGTCTTGGACAATTAGGTGGGGTGTTGTGCTGTTTCAGTAATTCTGGTAAATCCAATTTGTGTATGTGCACAGAGTTGTCTAAGGAAAAATAGATGAGGTAAGGCCACCATGTTTCCTCCTTCAAGAGAAGGGAGGGAGACAGTTTGTGTGTGGTGGTTCAGGTGTTTTCAGTCACTGTGGTACGTAGTTCACACTGTGCTAGGCAGTTCTACAAAAACATCTGGGGGGGGTTTCAGTGCCAGGTGATGTCTCCTCTTTCATGTCTTTGTAGTGCTGCCTTTTGTTTTCCTGTCCCTCTACGCTGCTCTACTTCTGAACATCTAACACTGTTCCAGAGGATTCCCTAAACTAAAAATAACATTACCATCCTTGCTTTTTTTAGCAGAGTGGACAGTATTGTATATCTAACTAGAATATTGCTCTCACACTTTGGAACAGAATATTGTTGTTAGAAGTGCCTCAGAGAAAGGATCTGGTTACTGATTTGTCTTTTAGCACACAGCAAGTTAGGGTTAAACACTTGAAAGGTTTTCTGGGAAGCATCTCTCAATCTTATAACTTTTCAAGTTATTTTCATTCTAGATTTACTAAGTTTTCTAGACCTTCAAGCATGACTCTCCTCAAAGCCTATTTGCATGCCAGAGGAAAAATCAGTCCATGTTTAAGAATTGTTCAGGATTTATTTTGGTTCAGCTGATGGTGCTCTAATTGACTCTATTTGCTGTTGTTATCGTTGCCTGAAGTTGGCTTTTTATTTGATTGTTATCTTAATCATATCATTAGTGGTAGCCTGCAATTGTGGACCATTTTCCTACTCCTCCTGGAATAATCAGGAATGTTTTGAACTTTAACAGTTGGTGGACGTTAGGATTTTTCCTATTCTTTCTCTCAGGGAATTTTTCCCATTTTGTTGCCTGTAAGTTCTTTGCCACAGGAGAATGCTCAGAGCAATATTACCAAGAGAAGTTACTTTTCAATAATTTGGTGAAGCAGATGGCTTTGGAAAGAAGGGGAAGAACAAGCATTCTCATTTCACCAGTCTATTGGCTGCTTCCTGGAGCTGGACAAGTCCATTGCTGGTCACAGCTTGTTGATGAGGGCTGCAATCCTGGCAGAGTAGATGGGAGGAAATTCAATTGGGAAAAGATGAGTAAAAGCTCTTTCTTTCTCCCTTGAACAAACCAAAGGCCCATGCTGGAGGACTGCAAGGGATTTGTGTGACAAATTTCCCTGTCAGCAATTTCTTGTCTGTACAAAATGCGCCCAGATCTCCCAGGCTCTCCTTATATGTCAGCTGTTCCCTTGCTTGTGTTCATGGCCCTCCATTGCATTTGTTCCCCTCTGTCCATGTCCTTCCCAGGCTTGGGAGCCCAGCCGGGCACACATTGGTCCCCAGTCCCAGCAGTGCTGAGCTGAAGAGGATTCCTCCCCAGAGAGCAAGGAGTCAGGACAACATGCCAGGAGGCTGCACGGACAAACGAGGCTGGGAAAACGTGGGCCCAGTGCTGAATGGGATGGGGACCAGGTGACACAGGATATGGGACAGGGCTGAGGTCCTGAATGCTTTCTTCACCTCAGGCTTCAGCAGCCAGATCAGCCTTCAGGAATTTAATTTCCCAGAGCCCAGGAGGAGAGGCTGGGAGGAGAAATATGTACCCTTGCACAATCCATGTCACTGAACCATGGCCATAATGAAAGGATTTGTCCAGAAGGTTTGCAGGGAAGTCAGTGCTGGGAGCTCAACTGAATGAAGAATGCACAACATCCACTCTCTCCTCACCCAGCAAGACCCTTTGTCTGCCTGTTGAAGGTTATCAATGTGGCTAAGCCAAATACCCGTTCCCAAAGCCATGCTGACTGTCCCTTACAGGAAAATGGGCTGGGAGCCAAGGCAAGGCACAGAGGAGAAATGAGGCTGTGCTGGACAGGAGCCCAGGCAATGTGCACTAAACCTGCACTTCCCCAAACTGCAGCCTCTGCAGTTGCCAGCACAGATCCTCCTGCACCATCAATGGTACCAGCCCTTCTGGCAGCCTCCCTCCAGTGCCTTCTAGTGCCCCCAGGCCAGAGGGACGTTTCCTGCACCTGCCATTGCCTGACAAGAGCCCTGGGCAGCAGCTGCCAGTAAGAAATGCTGAGAGATCTGTCATCCCCATCTGCTGGTTTTTGGTTCACTCTGCTGCAGAGCTGCTCCAGGGTGGTTCTTGCTCCACAGTAATACGTTGCTGCATCACCTGGGGTTGCTGCCAGGAGCTGCAGTGTGAAGCTGTTCATGGAGCTCTGCACTCTTCCTTTAAAGCGATCTTTGAAACCTTCCCCATATTTATCACCTTCCCTGTAAATCCATTTCAGAGAGCCCCGTGGACCCTGACGGTACCAAAACATGAAGTACCTGGTCATTGCATCTCCCTTCATGCTGCAGTGGAAGGTGACTTCATGTCCCTCTCCCACGGTCACTTCCCTGGGGTTCTGCTCCAAGGTCACCTGGCCAGTGACTGCTGCAGAGAGCAAGAACGAGCCACAGTCACTCCAAGATGAAGCAAAGGTCACGGCAATGCGGGTGAGGCTTTGAACTGGAACTGGACCTGTGGGAGGACAAAATCCTCCTCTTGGAAGCCAGCTGACACAGATGGGCAGAGCTGGTGGCAGCTAGCAAGGCTCACAAGGAAGGAGACACCTCATTTCCCTCCATCCTTTTCCCAGTCACACAGGAAGCTTTTCCTGGTTTTCCCCAAAGAAGCAGGAAGGATTTGCACCATGGCGGGACAATAAATTCCTTTGTCCTTGCCAAGACAGGATGGTGAGGAACCCACTGTCCTGTCGCTGAAGCTGCTGTGGGTGAGCAGAGCAAAGACCAAGGGCTGTCCCAGGCAGTGGGGCCTGTGCCCTGTGCTGCCATGGCCCAGCTGGTCTGTGCCAGAGGGGCGGCAGTGGCCCAGGAGCAGTGTCCAGTGCCAGGGCAAAGCGCTGGGCCCCGAGATGTGAGTGCAGCAGGGAGGTGCCCTGCGTGTGCCCAGGCTGCAGAGGAGGCAGCTGGCATGGAGGTGCCGAGCTCAGAGGCACAAGAGGAGCAGGGCTGCTCTCGCCGTGCTCCACAGGCAGGGCTGGGCAGCTGGAGCCGGGGCACAGCTGCGGCTGCAAGCGCTCAGCACAGCTGCCCAGAGCCCTGCAGAGCCCAGGGCCACGCTCAGCTCCTGGGGCCAGCAGCCCTTGCCTTCACTTACCTACAATGGGCAAGAAGCCCAGGCACAGGGCACTCCACATGGCCAGGCCCACTCTCAGTGGCCTCTCTGCAGCTTCTCTGGGCCTGCACAACAGCTCTGCCCACACCTGCCCTGCCTGGGCCTCTGTCACTGCTCTCAGGCCCAGGCCCTGCTGGTCCCTCCCTCTGCCTATGACAACACTGAGGGGGAGAGGTGGGGCACCAGGAGCACAACTTGAAGCTCTTGCTGCCCTCCTGCCTGTCTCTCACTCTTTGTGGTGCAGTAACAGCCCATTTGTTAGGCAGGAAATGCTGTGTTGGGCTAAAGGTGACGTGGTTCTGAGGGGCCAGCCCTGGCCTTTCTCTCAGGGAGTCTCCCAGGCTGGGACTTTGGAGGTGACCAGGGAAGCTGTCAGCTTGTCCTTCCCCTGGCTCTGCTGGCCCTGCCTCTGCTGGGCGTCTCCTCCCATATGGGACACCCCAGGATCTCAGCTCGGCTTGGCCAGGCCACCCCCAAGCCAAAGTGCTCCTCACCCTGCTCCCAGCACTCTGGCCCTGCACCCTCTGGCTCCCCAGTGGTGACACTTCTCCAGCTGCCTCTTCCTCTCAAAGCCCTCACGGAGCCCTGCCCAGCAGCAAAGGCAGCCCAGGACTCTGCAGGTGCTTTGCATGTTCCACTTAAGAAGGGGACCAAGGAAGGCTGAGTGAGACTGGAGCCAGGCAGTCACCAGGCTGACTGCATGACAGAAAAACCTTGAAGCTCCTCTACAGAGTAGGACATTGGAATTGGGACTCAGGGGAAGGAAAGCCTCAGTGCTGGGAAAGGAGCTCTTGATGAAAGGCCAGGATCACTGGTGCTGGGTGGGGATGGCACCTGATTTCTCAGGAACAGCCCTGAAGCACTTTGGAATTCACCATCTCCAAATGTCGTGGGTGCTGATCCAGCCCCGAGCTGGTTTGTGTTAAAGCCAGGCTGGGTTTCCTGTGCCCGTGTGAACAGCGCAGAAGTACCGGGCAGAGTCGCGGGGCTGCAGGGTCAGCAGGGAGAGATAAACCTCGGCCCGGGAATTGTCCCGGGACATCTTGGCCCTCCCCTGCACTGACTGGTCAAAATAAACAGCTGTCGCATCAAAACTAATAAAGGACACCCACTCTGGGCTCCCTCCGGGTGCCTGACGGTACCACCAAATATGATAATCCTCGAAGGTGAATCCGGATCCACGGCAGGAGAGGGTGACGGAGTCGCCGGGCGCTCGCTGCCCTCCGCCGGCCTCCTGCAGCCTCGGCTGTGCGCAGAGCCCTGCGGAGGGAGAGCGCAGGGATCGGGCGGGGCGCGGCCGCGGACCGAGGGCGCTGTCCCGGTGTCCCGGTGCCCCCGGCCCGGCACAGCCACAGCCGCCAGCCCCGGCCCACAGCCCCTGTCCCTGGGTCTGCCCCGGCCTTTGCCCGTGTTCCCTGCCCAGCCTCTGCTCCTGTCCTTTCCCCAGCCTCTGGCCTTGTGCCCGTCCCTGTTCGTGCTCCTGCTCCTGTCGCTGCCTGTCGCTGTGGCTGTGCCTGGTTGCCCCGGCCGGGCTCGCTGCCCTCCCCGGCCGGCTCTCACCTGCCGGCGCCAAGGCCAAGGCCAAGGCCAGCAGCCCCGGCCCCGGCCCGGCCAACATCGCTGCCGGCGCCGCGGCAGCCGCACAGGAGGCGAGCGGAGCCGCGCTCGGGCCGCTCCCGCCCGGCCCCGCCTCGCCGGGGCAGCGCCGGCGCCTCTGCCCGCCCCGACTCACCCGCCCCGGGCCCCGGGAGCGCGGCCCCGCCGGGCGGGACAGGCAGCGGTGCACGAAGGGACGGGGAACAGCGCCGCGTGAGGCTTTATTTTCTCTTTGTAAACAGAGAGCGGTGTAGACACGAGGCTCTGAATCCTCTTGCTCAGAGGCCGTTTTTGTTTCTCCCACTGTCTCGCCAGTGAGTTCCTGGGGTTGGGCAATAAGCTGCGATGGGACCCAGCAGCACCACTTTAGCCAGCTCAGCTAAGGATTATCCCATTCTGTAATATTTGTTTCTCAGAAATAAAGCTCACGGAAAGGAGGAAAGGGGACATTCGGAGTGATGGCCTTTGTCTTCCCAAGGCATCATTCTGTGAGAGAAAGACCATTTTTCCTAGAAATGGCTAAAAACCTCCCTGTTGATGGAGAAGTAGGGCAGAATGTCCTCATTTTTCCTGTACTGCGGACTCAGCTTTCTTTGCTTTTCAGCTGCTGATGTGGAGCATCTGTCCAAGTTTAAAAGGCTGTCAGAGCTGGACCTGTTTAGCATAGAGAAGGAGAAGCTGGTTGGGGTTGCACTTTGACAATAAGCCTGGCAGCAAACTAGGATAAATTTAGAGCAAGGCATTTTCCAATTGCTCGCAATTCTACTCTAAATCGAATTAGCAATAAAGCAGAAGCCCTGCGGTGTGCAGTAAAGGCCAGGAATACCTGAGGTACACAGCGATGGCACCTGACTTCTTGGAAACAGCCTTGAGACCCATTGGCTCCAGCCCCTAGCAACTCTCACCTTCCCTGCATTTAAGGCAGCCTCTGCTGGGCCGCAGGAAGTTTGTGTTAAAGCTCATCTGCATTTCCTGTCCCCGTGGGACGGCACAGAAATACCGGGCAGAGTCCTGAGCTTGCAAGGACCGCAAAGAGAGATAAGCCTCGGATCGGGAATTGTCCCGGGAAATCTTGGCCCGACCCTTCACCGCTGCCCCGTATTTCACTGTAGTGCCTTTGGGGCGGCTGATAAAGGACACCCACTTTGGGCGGCCTCCGGGTGCCTGACGGTACCACCAAATAGAACGATCCTTAAAGGTGAATCCGGATCCACGGCAGGAGAGGGTGACGGAGTCGTCGGGCGCTCGCTGCCCTCCGCCGGCCTCCTGCAGCCTCGGCTGTGCGCAGAGCCCTGCGGAGGGAGAGCGCAGGGATCGGGCGGGGCGCGGCCGCGGACCGAGGGCGCTGTCCCGGTGTCCCGGTGCCCCCGGCCCGGCACAGCCACAGCCGCCAGCCCCGGCCCACAGCCCCTGTCCCTGGGTCTGCCCCGGCCTTTGCCCGTGTTCCCTGCCCTGCCTCTGCCCCTGTCCTTTCCCCAGCCTCTGGCCTTGTGCCCGTCCCTGTTCGTGCTCCTGCTCCTGTCGCTGCCTGTCGCTGTGGCTGTGCCTGGTTGCCCCGGCCGGGCTCGCTGCCCTCCCCGGCCGGCTCTCACCTGCCGGCCCCAAGGCCAAGGCCAAGGCCAGCAGCCCCGGCCCCGGCCCGGCCAACATCGCTGCCGGCGCCGCGGCAGCCGCCCAGGAGCCGAGCGGAGCCGCGCTCGGGCCGCTCCCGCCCGGCCCCGCCTCGCCGGGGCAGCGCCGGCGCCTCTGCCCGCCCCGACTCACCCGCCCCGGGCCCCGGGAGCGCGGCCCCGCCGGGCGGGACAGGCAGCGCCGGCCGAGCCGGGCCGCGCACGCAAAGCAGCGCTGAGCGCTTGGACAGCGCCTTCTGCCGAAGGGACCCGTGGCCAACGCGCCCTGAAATTCGCCCTCGTAGCACAGAATCACTGTGTCACAGAATCACAGAGTCACTGGCATCGGCGCTGCCGTGGGCAAAACGCTGCCCGCACTTGAAGGTGGTGATGGCTCCTCTCTCCTCGGAACTGCTGAAGCCACGCTCGACTACTGGGGACACATCTTGACTCCCCACTTTGTCATGTCAGTTGTTTTTCACCTGAGCAGGGAGGACACAAGGATGCTGAGCATACAATCATGAAGGGAGTTTATTCTTTTATACTTCAGCTAGCACACAGCTGTGCCCTCTCCTAGCCCATGGCCCATCCTGCTGTCAGATCTGGCCAGTGACTCTTGCTCACATAATCATCCCTGAGTGCTTGTCCTGTGCTGGATCTCTGCACCCTGGTGTCATGCAGATGGTGCAGACGAGTGGTCAGTAGTGCAGGGAAGTGGATTCTTTGAAACTCAGGCCCCATGCAGAGGCTGGAATTTCTCTGGAATTCTGACTGATTCCACTACTGGACATAGTTCAGTGTCTGGTTTTGTTGGAAAATATGTCTTCTGGTGCTTTTCTCTTGTTATGAGGTATTCAGAGCTAGGAAGGGCTGCCTGGAGGTGGGTGATCAGGACAAACCAGCCCTGAGGTCAGAGCTTCTTGTCTCAGGCACTGCTCTTTCTTGTAAGCAGGAGAATATTACAGATAGCCCTTTCAGAGCTTTTGTCACTGAGGACTTTGAGAAATAACTTGTGCTACAACAGGAGTGTTGAGGACAACCCTGTGTCCTCTTCAGGCTGCAAGTTTCAAAGCTAAAAAGGAACCGGGGAAATCTGCAAATGAAACAAAGAAAATTTTGGTTGGGGCAACGAGAGGCACACAGAGGAATGAGGAGAGCTATTCTGCATGGGTTGGTTTTCTGTATTTCTGTTCTTTGCTGCATTTGTGGTGAGTGTTGTTCTGTCAGAACCTAGGGTGTGGTGTTGTTCTGTAAGGCTGCAGACCCAGGTACAGGCTGCCAAGCTCTCTCCTAAAACTATCAGACCTGATGCTGTTATTTCGGGAGAGCCAGAATGGGCATAAGGAAAGGTGAGCAGAAGAGGAGGCAGCTCTGTGCCTCCTCTGTGCCAGTGGGAAGTCAGGAATTAATTCTAGATGTTGTTTGGTTTTTGCGTGTTGGTTTTGCCATGATTTCTCAACTCTCTTTCTGTCAAAACACACATTTTCTCACTCCACCCTTTTGTTCCTCTCCCGCATGGCACAGAGGGGGAGTGAATGAGCAGCTGTGTGGGGCTGAGCTGCCCGATGGGGGCAGGGGCAGGAGGTGCCCACAGCCTTGTCCTGTTCAGTTGTGAATGTTCTCAAGAATGGAACTTGCAGAGTCTGGGGTATTTCACCTCAGTGTCAGATGCCCCTCAACATTTTCTTCTGCATGCTAAACCAACCCAGATCTCCCAGGCTCTCTTTATACGTCAGCTGTTCCCTTCCTTGTGTTCATGGCCCTCCATTGCATTTGTTCCCCTCTGTCCATGTCCTTCCCAGGCTTGGGAGCCCAGCAGGGCACACATTGGTCCCCAGTCCCAGCAGTGCTGAGCTGAAGAGGATTCCTCCCCAGGGAGCAAGGAGTCAGGACAACATGCCAGGAGGCTGCACGGACAAACGAGGCTGGGAAAACGTGGGCCCAGTGCTGAATGGGATGGGGACCAGGTGACACAGGATATGGGACAGGGCTGAGGTCCTGAATGCTTTCTTCACCTCAGGCTTCAGCAGCCAGATCAGCCTTCAGGAATTTCATTTCCCAGAGCCCAGGAGGAGAGGCTGGGAGGAGGAATATGTACCCTTGCACAATCCATGTCACTGAACCATGGCCATAATGAAAGGATTTGTCCAGAAGGTTTGCAGGGAAGTCAGTGCTCGGAGCTCAACTGAATGAAGAATGCACAACATCCACTCTCTTCTCACCCAGCAAGACCCTTTGTCTCCCTGTTGAAGGCTGTCAATGTGGCTAAGCCAAATCCCTGTTCCCAAAGCCATGTTGACTGTCCCGAAAGAAAAAGGGCTGGGAGCCAAGGCAAGGCACAGAGGAGAAATGAGGCTGTGCTGGACAGGAGCCCAGGCAATGTGCACTAAACCTGCACTTCCCCAAACTGCAGCCTCTGCAGTCCCCAGGACAGATCCTCCTGCACCATCAATGGTACCAGCCCTTCTGGCAGCCTCCCTCCAGTGCCTTCTAGTGCCCCCAGGCCAGAGGGACGTTTCCTGCACCTGCCATTGCCTGACAAGAGCCCTGGGCAGCAGCTGCCAGAAAGAAATGCTGAGAGATCTGTCTTCCCCATCTGCTGGTTTTTGGTTCACTCTGCTGCAGAGCTGCTCCAGGGTGGTTCTGCTGCACAGTAATACGTTGCTGCATCTCCTGGGGTTGCTGCCAGGAGCTGCAGAGTGAAGCTGTTCTGGGAGCTCTGCTCTCTTCCTTTAAAGCGATCTTTGAAACCTTCTCCATAGATATCTCTATAGTCTTCATAAATCCATTCCATGCCCCGTGGGCCCTGACGGTACCAGTACATGTAGTAGTCGCTCATATCACCTCCCTTCATGCTGCAGTGGAAGGTGACTTCATCTCCCTCTCGCAGGGTCACTTCCCTGGGGTTCTGCTCCAAGGTCACCTGGCCAGTGACTGCTGCAGAGAGCAAGAACGAGCCACAGTCACTCCAAGATGCAGCAAAGGTCAGGGCAATGCTGGTGGGGCTTTGAACTGGAACTGGACCTGTGGGAGGACAAAATCCTCCTCTTGGAAGCCAGCTGACACAGATGGGCAGAGCTGGTGGCAGCTAGCAAGGCTCACAAGGAAGGAGACACCTCATTTCCCTCCATCCTTTTCCCAGTCACACAGGAAGCTTTTCCTGGTTTTCCCCAAAAAGGCCGGAAGAATTTATACCACGGGGCAGTAAATTCCTTTGTCCTTGCCAAGACAGGATGGTGAGGAACCCAGTGTCCTGTCCTGAAGCTGCTGTGGATGAGCAGAGCAAAGACCAAGGGCTGTCCCAGGCAGTGGGGCCTGTGCCCTGTGCTGCCATGGCCCAGCTGGTGTGTGCCAGAGGGGCGGCAGTGGCCCAGGAGCAGTGTCCAGTGCCAGGGCAAAGCGCTGGGCCCCGAGATGTGAGTGCAGCAGGGAGGTGGCCTGCGTGTGCCCAGGCTGCAGAGGAGGCAGCTGGCATGGAGGTGCCGAGCTCAGAGGCACAAGAGGAGCAGGGCTGCTCTCGCCGTGCTCCACAGGCAGGGCTGGGCAGCTGGAGCCGGGGCACAGCTGCGGCTGCAAGCGCTCAGCACAGCTGCCCAGAGCCCTGCAGAGCCCAGGGCCACGCTCAGCTCCTGGGGCCAGCAGCCCTTGCCTTCACTTACCTACAATGGGCAAGAAGCCCAGGCACAGGGCACTCCACATGGCCAGGCCCGCTCTCAGTGGCCTCTCTGCAGCTTCTCTGGGCCTGCACAACAGCTCTGCCCACACCTGCCCTGCCTGGGCCTCTGTCACTGCTCTCAGGCCCAGGCCCTGCTGGTCCCTCCCTCTGCCTATGACAACACTGAGGGGGAGAGGTGGGGCACCAGGAGCACAACTTGAAGCTCTTGCTGCCCTCCTGCCTGGCTCTCACCCTGCATGGTCCCCATCTTTCTCTTAAGCCCTCTCCATATTCACACTTTGTGTGATCCTGTGGAAGAGCCTCCGGCTTGATTTGGAGTGACTCAGTGGGAACTCTACATTGGGAAATTCCAGTCCTAAACCACAATAGGTTCCTTTGGCATCCAGTGTAGGGCATGAAGGGTTGAGATAAGACCAGATCTGCCCAGAGTGGGCTGCAGACCAATCTGATCTCAGCATTAGTTGTATCAGGTCTGGAGCCAGTGGTGCCAATGCTGCTGGGGCTGTTCCTGTGGCTGTGGGACCTAACCCTGTGTGTGTTCCCCTATGAGCTCCCCATGCTGATATTGTGCAGGGCTGTGGGCACTGAGAAGGGGACTGGGGAGAGGACAGCAACTCTCAGCCTCTGGAGGTGGCTCCTGTCAAGTGTTAGAGAAAGATACTGTCCCAAGGATGATCTAGTAGTGCTCCCAGGCAGGTGGAAGCCCATGGCCAGAGACTCTATTTGTCATCAAAATCAAACTGTGTGTGCCCAGTGCCTCTTAGAGGTGTCCACTTTATGAGGGCTGGGGTTTCTCTTCTCTGTCTCCTTGCAGGTTATGTTTCAGTAGAGGTCACAAAAGAGGAATTTCCCTGGTTGTCAAAGGCTTTGACATAGGCAGGCATAACTAAGGCCCTCCCTACAGAAATCCTAGAATTGACATCTATTTTCAAAGTTGTGCTTTGGAAAGACAGACATTGCCCAGAGCTCTGCACTCCCCAGTTCTGAGTGGTTTTGCAGGGGAAGATCGGGCTCTTACTACTTCAGTTCAGACAACATCTGCTGACTGAAATATGAGGGAAGGAGAGAAAGAGGACTTGCCCTTATAGTCAGGTAATTAACCATCCTGCTAACGAGTTTCTGAGATGGATATGCCCATTTCAGCTCTTCCTTGTATATCCTGAGCTGTTCCACACATGTTTAAGTGGATGAATTGCTATGGGAGGTTTTCAGAAATGCAATAATGATGATGTCCTGAATGCAACCCCATGTAGTTCTCCTTCCTGCACCCAGTCAGGGCACACATCACTCACTGCATCCTGAAAAAATCCAGATAAAAACAACTCTGCAGATGAATTAACCTACACATTGTGGTGCTCACTTGGGTGAGCCTTGGGTTTCCTCCTGTCATTTTCTACGTACCACTTTTCATTACCAGCATTCCCCCCTCCTTCAGTATTTCCTGACATTTGGAAAAGAGAAATGCTTCTCACAGAATTCAGCAAGACCACAGTTTCTCACCTGTGAATCCAAGGCAAAATCTTTCAGAAAACACCTTTCTGATGACAAGTCAGGAATGGGGACTTACTAAGATATTTATCCTGATTTCTGCAGAACACCAGCAGGAAGCTCAGGTGTGAGACTGCTGCAGTATTTCAGATTGAGATTCCTAAGGAATTTTGAAGGCAGTGCTGCAAGTGCTTCCTGTATTTACTCCATTTCTTCTGTTACAAATTATTTCCAGCTCTAACTGTGCTTTAGTTTTAAGTTTCAAATGAAGTTTCCCTGAATCTCCTTTCAGCTTCCTGATCCTGGTCTTTCCAAAGCCTCTGTATCACTTTGCAAGAGTTCCCAACTGCTCCTGCTGGCAGGGGCAGAATGCAAAAGAAGAGCAAAGAAGTTCAATTTGTGGCATGACCAGGCACAACACTTCTTGTGGGCTTTGGGTGGTTTCTTTGGTTGTTTTTTTTTTTTTGCTTTTTATCTCCTGTTTGAGCTATTTGCTGGATTTCATGAATTTGAGTGTTGTGAGAACAATAAACACTTTGGCCAGAAGGTAGCAGGAGAGACCAGAGAAAGAAGTTCAGTTTACATCAACAGATCTAACTTTACCAGGAACTGTTTAGTATTTCAGGACACAAACCAGACAGGTTAGATTATACCCAGCAGATGCAGTAATGTGATTATTAGATTGTACTTCTAATGCTGTATAAGACAGCAGAAGGATTCAGTGGTATAAAAAGGTATTTAGTATTGCCCATTGTCATGGAGTTCTTCATAATGTTTTCCCATGTAACCTCTTGGAGAGAGCTTTAATCTTTCAGGATGCTTTTAATGCATCTCTGTGGTGGGTCCCAGAGTGAGGTGAGAGATGAGAATCTTGACTCCATGTTTCAGAAGGCTGATTTATTATTTTATGATAAATATTATATTAAAAGAAAATGATATCCTAAAACTATATTAAAAGAATAGAGAAAGGATTCATCAGAAGTCTTGAAAGGGAGAGAAAGGAATGAATAACAAAAGCTCATGACTCTGAGAGAGTCCAAGCCAGCAGACTGTGATTGGCCATTAATTAGAAACAACCAACATGGACCAATCAGAGATCGACCTGTTGCATTCCCCAGCAGCAGATAATTATTGTTTACATTTCATTTCTGAGGCCTCTCAGCTCCTCAGGAGAAAAAAATCTTGATGAAAGGATTTTTCATAAAATGTGTCTGTGACACATCTCTCTGCCGCTGGAGAGAGCTCTCACCATTTTGAGTTACTTAGCAGGGCAGATGTCAGATACCACACTCTGTGTGTGACTCACTAAGGGGCAGGAAAAATAATGTGCTAGAGGTGAAAATTTTCCTCAAATTACTTTAAAGTTTTGTTGAAGTTCACATTGTGGCTGGTATTGTCACCAAAACTGTGGGAAAAACAAAAAGTCTCCCACAGCATTTTTTAGTTTTAGAGAATCAAGGCGTTACTTTATTCTGGCCAAGATATGTAACAGAAATCATTTCATCCACACATTGCATGGGTTGTGCAGAGAAAATCCTTCCATCACACAAGGTTTTCAGTAGAGTTTTCTTGTACTTCTACAGTCAAACCCAGGGAAATTCATTGGTTCAATGTTCATTGCTCCCAAGTTCCACAGTCTGTAGTATTTGCTTTTTATTAATCCTTTCACCTTGGATGTTATTTTGGCTGTCAGTCTTGGTTCTCTCATTGAACTTTTCCCAGACCAGGTGTCTCTGACCTTGCCAGGGCTGATGTTTGGAGCTGATGTTCATTAATGGTCGTTATCTTTTGTGTATCTTCTGTGCTGCTCCCAGTCTGCTGGGATGTGAAGCTCATCAGGCTTGGAGTGCTGGAACAGTCCCGTGAAAAGAAACTTCAGTTCCTTTCCCCCTGGGCAAAGGTGAACAAAACCCCTGACTAAATGTATATAAAGGTATTTTGAACTTCTTCTCATTGCCCCCAGTATGAGAAAGGTGTCACAGAAATGCAGAAGGATTGAGGCTGGAAGGGAGCTCTGGAGGGGACTGGGTGTCCCCTGCTCTAGCAGGACTGTCTGGAGCTGTTTGCCAAGGAACACGTCCAGGTGGCTTTTGAATGTCTCCAGGGCCAGTGGCTCAACCCCTGGAGATTTGCAAAGGCTCTATGAGCACAATCAAACATGGAAATATGTAGGAGAATAGGCTAATACTGTAAAAGTGTATTGTACCAAAGAGGTCTCCTTATAATTATCCTCCATTATTTTGGAATCAGGACAATATTGTTTTGTCAGATGTCAGGATAATTCCACATGCAAATGTGCTTCTTTACAGAGAGTATTTTAATGACCTTTCAATCCTGTGCATCTGATTGCACTGGTTTTGCCTGAGGGAATATTCTGAACATAGAAATCTGCCTGAGAGATTGGGAAAAGGTGTGGAGTGCTTGAGAAAAAGGTTCTGGGTGTCATTGGAAAATCAGTATAGAAATGTTGGTGAACAGCTCCCCCTGACTGATGGTGTGGTGGTAGAGTGCACTAAACGTGCATTTCAGTGGATTTGGATTTGCCATGCAAATTTCACAGAGCTTCTGCAGGGGCTGGGGCTCTTGTCTGGGTGTCTGCAGGGCCTGAGGGTGTGAGCAGAGCAAGCTCAGTGCAGCAGCCCTTGCTGTGTCCCATGCAGAGGCTCTCTTGAGGGCTGCAGGAACTCAGGCAGGGGCAGCAAAGCCTTATTTCCCCTTCAGGATGTGGTTACCTTGTGTTTTCAAAAGCAGGGGAGGGTTGATGCTGCCTGGTGTGACTGAGTCAGAAATGGTGACCACAGCATCCTGCCTGTAGCTGGTGAGAGGGGCATGAGCTGGGGAAGGTGTGGGCTGGGCTCTGTTAGGTAAGAGCCAAGTTGCTATGGAAACTATCACTCCATCAAACCAGCCCAGATTATTTTCTGGTGGCCCCTGCCTCCTGTCCCTGAGTGCAAAACAGCAGCAGGGTTTGTTCCCTGCTGGCAGGAGCATTTTCCTCCCTCGTGCCTTCAGCAAGGACTCTCCTGACTGAGGCTCCTGAATGTGCCAGAGACATTTCCCTGCACCAAGTCTGCAAAAGACAAATTCAGCCAACAGGAAATCTGCAATATCAAAGCTGTGTTTCTGATCCCACTGGGCTTCTAGGGTAGTTAGATTTCAGCAATTTCCATCCTAGTTTCAGAAGAATAAGCACAAAAAACCAACAAGATTTTGGGCTAGCAGAACTTTATTTTTGTCCCTACTGCATAAACCTAAAATGCACATGCAATACATTTGGCAGAAGAAAGACAGGCTTAATCAAGAAGTGAACATTATCTAGTTGAATAAAATCAGATTCTACAGAGCTCTTCTTATCTGCAATACACACTTAGTAAATCGTCCTAAACCCTAAGCAACAAAAGGCAGCTTGTGGGCTGGAATTCCCCCAGCAGTGCTACTCCAGTTCCTCAGGCAGTAACACAACGTGCCTGGGAAAGGTGCTTCTCAAAGGCATCTCTCAGCAGTGAGCACTGGAGTTTTCAAAGCTACTGAAGCAGGTTGGACACTGGTGTGCAAATGCCAGAAGAGTGGGAGGGATCTCCTTAGCAGGAGGATGAGGATAAATCCACTGTGCTCAGTTGTCAGAGGAGAGGAAAGAGCAAAAGCACTTAAAACTCTTCAGTGTAAATCAGCTGGCCAGGCAGGAGTGAAGAGTGTTGCATGTCTGCAGGGGAAGGTGCTGCCTTGTGTCCTGGCTGGTCTCTGTCAGCAGCTCTGGCCCTGCTGGTTCAACCCCTTGTGCTGCTGGTTCACGCTCTTTGCTGCTCTTCTTTGGGTTCATTGCCCATGTCTGGAAGAGCAAAGGGAGGTTTAAAGTACATTTAATGAAATTGGGCCTATGAACCAGTGTTTGAGAGCTGTGAGCTCATTTACCTCAGAAAAGAAACAACTTGATGCTCATGAGGGCATTGAAGGCGATGCTCTTTGCCAGCAGGACTCTCAACCCCAACACAGCCATGGACAGCATGTTCCCTCTCTGCCCTCCAGCATCTGCTCAGTGACCAGAAAAGAAGGGAGACATCATGGTCTAGGTTTTGGTGCTGTGATCTTGGCAGAAAGTGGAAAATCCACAGGTGAGAGTTTCAGGGGAAGGAAGAGCAGCAAAGGAACAGCCAAGAGAGAACATGGCAAGAAGAGGGGAGCAACGTTGGAACAGCAACCTTGGAACACAATCTGCTGAATGTGTTGTGTTCTGAGTCCTGTGCCCTGGAGAAAATACATTTCCATGCCTTTATCCCACAGAGAGCAATGTAACCTCACATCGTGCTTGGGTAACTCACCTTGTGCTGAGGCATTTGTGTGGTTGCAAACCCTGTCAGTGGTCTCTATTCCTGGTTCTTCAGCCTCCTCTTCTGTAGCATGATAAAGAAAAGGCATTTGAAACTATATCCACATTTTATAGAGGATAAAAAAAAATGTTTAGATGAAATTTCTCATAAAAAATTGGAGGCAAGATCAGAGTGGGCCTCAGCTGGTCTGGAATAATTCCAACATTAATTTGAGGAGGCAATTTCTCCTTGCAGTTGCAAGAAACAGAAGAATTCCTGCATTGTTTTGTTTTACTCTTTGAATGACCTTCAGGACTAAAAAAACAGTCCCACCAAATATAACAGTTTACTTAATTAAAAAAAGCCTCACAACACACCCCACCTTTAACTTCTTTTGCTTTTAGAGAGGCTGTTTCAGCTTGTGCTGCAGCAAGTTTCCTTCTATAGGCTAGAGTATTCCATCATAAGGAAATTCACATTTTGAAGCAATAGATTGTGTCTTTCCTCTTCTCCCCAGAAAAGTATCACAAAGTAATTAAACTGTTGAAACCATTTCTTTTAGATGCTTTGAAACATCTTTCATTTTTCCCTGCTGAAATCCCAAATGTCTTTCTTATTTCTGCTGGCTGCCCAGGGCAGTGCTGTCCAGAAGGAGAACACCAAGCCCCACAGGCCACTGTCTCCAGAAATAAGTGACAGCTGTGCCACCAAACTGTACCTGGCTTTGCTGTTATGGTGCGGTTGCCGAATTTGGCCGTGCAGGTCACCTCTGTGTCTTTTGTCACCCTGACCACTTTAATTGCATTGTACAACCCCTGTGACGTCAGAATGGATGGGCTCTGTTCATAGACCACCTCCTGAGAGGGCATCTCCAAGCTGATGTTCTTTGTAGCGAAGTTCCTTGCCAAACAAGCTGCTTTCCCAGAGCTGCCACCTCCTTCCAGTTTCTTTGATTTCATCACAATGACTTTGGGATCAGAAGTTTTTGAAATGCCTGAAAAGAAAAGCAAGGTTTGGACAGGATTGATTTCACTGCAGGCTTGCCTGGGTGCTGAGTGACCCAAAATTCACATATACTTTATCTGTGACTAATTTGTAGCATTAGCAATCACTTTTTGTGGTCTTTATTTCTTGCTGCTTCTTCCAAAAGATCAAATTTAAAGACAGAAATGGGTATGGGGGACATATTTAATAGGAGATTTAATCCCACAGGATCACAACTACCTTTTGCCAAAGCTTGTGCTTGTAAGTGAACCCTTGATTTTATAATAGACGTACAAACAAGAGGGGAGCTTTGATGAATGCCACTCCAAGACTCCACTTATTCTGCTTTCTCAGCCATTTAATTCCAAAACATAACAATTCTACCTGGATTGCCTTGCACATTCATGACAGACATAAATAAATACTGTTTTTATTTTACGCTCCCCACTAGACGCCCAACAGAAATCCAACACATTACCTTGGCTTAACCAGTTCAGTTGAATCCAATCTCTGAACAATTTATTAAGATTAAATTAGTACAGAAATGTTGCATAAGATTTTATTTCATGCTTTTGTATCCTTCTCTGCTATCAGTGTTGTATTTTTAACTCTGACACAAAAGATAGTCATAGGAACTTGTATGCCAACTTCCACAGACACTTTATTTCCCTTTAGACAGTCCAAGTGTGACTTTAAACCCAACACTGATTATTGCAATCTTATTAAGAAGTCTGAATAAGTGGATAGATGTAGGTCCCAAGGAAATTCAGAATGATAGCAGACAGAACTTGGAGTTTAAGTTCTTTGGCAACATCGGGAAGTGGAATAAGAATATTTTTACATATGAATTGTCTAGCTGCATGCAAAAGATTACACATAGAAAGTAAAATTAGTGACTGAAAAACATGAGTGAATGTCTGCATAAATTTTAGGGGGAATAAAATACTTGCAAAAGGGGAAACCGAAAGAGTATCAACTCAGAAAATGGTAATGTATAAAGGATACCTACTTGGCTCCACGGTCAGTTGAGTTCCGTTCCCAAAGACAAGAGCTGCAGTAACTCACAGTTAAAATGCGTAAATCAAAAAGGGCTCGCTTTGCTATTCTTCCTCTACACATTTCCTTCCCAGTTGCACCATGATTGGCCAGAGCCTGTCAGTCCTGTGCATTCTGTGTTCTCTGAGAAGACCTTGAAAGGCTTTTCATGTGGTCTCCTCTCCAGGCTTTCCAAACAGCCAGAACACAAACAGGCAGCTTCTCTGCAGTAGCTCCCTGGGCAGGATCTTCAGCAAGCAATAATGCACACAGTGCAATTGCAGTTCAGAGAGCAGAAGATTTGTTTTATCTGGCCCCAGAAGGCTCACCTGAGTCCCACCAATTTGCATTCCCTGGCAGTACAGCCATGAATTCCTACCACTGCTTGCTTCTGGAAGGGATTCGTGTTTTATGTTCTAAAAATTTATTTGAACAAAAAGTTGTACTTCTCCTTTACTTTCATCTTACAAAGTCAAAGGAGGAGCCCTCCATTCCAGAAAGTAATGGGCCTTAGCATTTTTTTAGAATGTTTAATCTGGAATAAACAAAAGAGTACCTAAAGGAAAACCTTCTCTGTCCTTAACTGAGCCCTCAACAGAATATGCCTGGATATCCCACAGTGGCACTAATGGTTGTTATTTTATGTCATTTTGATTTGGGGAGTTGGCAAAAGATTGGAAAATATCCGTGCTGTAAACACCTTAAAATGCATATTAGTGTCTCCCAAAGGAATTCAAAACCCAAAGGAGGAGATTGCTCACATCCTGGAAACTTTGGCTTCAACTTCTTGAGTATTTCAGCAGCCTCAAAAGGGAGTCTGATACTTAAGGCCCAGCATCTTTTACCATCAAAGTTAATACCAGAATCTCTGTGCAGCTCTGAAAATATCCTGTCATTAGCTAGACAAAGAAAATAATCAAACAGGATGAAAAGATAGGTCTTTCTTCAGAATGGTGACTTTACTTGGGGTGACATGCACCTTTTTTGCACAAAATGGAATTCCAAACGAAGATGGGAATAAGTAACGCTGCTTATAATCCCTATTCCCCACATTGCTCTTTGCAGAACCCACATAACCTGGGAGCCAATTTTCTTTCATTCCAGGAGCTCTTGGATATGAGGCACTTGTGAGAATTTAAGCCCAAGGCTATTTCCCCTCCTTCCTGCTCTGTCCCCAGGGCAGTGGACACTGCCAGTGTGGTGCCAGTGTCAAAGGAGAACTTCTCCAACCAGGAGTTACAGATGTGTCTAAAACTCCTCATACTGGGAGCTCTTCACTGAGCTCTGCATTCCTGCCCCAAGTCAGTCAGTGCAAGCCCGCTGGAGAATTGGACACTGGACAGTAAATTTGGGCCAGAGTGCTGCCCAAAGTGGGAATAAGTTATCACAGGCTAAGCAGTGCCCTGCTGGTGTTTGGGGATCATGGAATAATGCTGTATGCAGAGTCAGCCCAGTTGTTCCTGGAAACCTTCCTGAGCAAATCCAAGCTGAGGGTTTGGCTTGAAAGCCTGGCTGGAGAGTGAGTGCATTCAAGGGATTATTGCAGCTGAAAATCCTTTCTGTCAACCCAAACTTTTAAACTATTTTGTCCACCTACACCTCAATTTTCAATGAAGTTTTAGGAAGAAAGAAATGTCACTTACTTGGTTCAACTGTGAGAGTTGTCCCTGGTCCAAATATAAGCTTATCTGTCGTCACACTGCTAAGACTTTTTCCAATAACTCACTCTTTCCTCATGGTGTTCATAAGTGTTGTAAATCAAGAGATAGAAAGCCAAATATTTTTTCTAATTATCCATGGGTGCAAGTCCATGAGAGGATCCAGAGGTACATTTACTTCCAAAACTGGAAAGGGAAAAAAGGTTAATTGAATTGTTAAATGATTTTCAATTATTTCAAATAGCTTGATTGAGTGTAGAATTTTCAATTTCTCCCTTTCTTCCATCTTTTAGAATCCCCTTGAACTCTTCTATCTTTCCAGGGTAAAAGGCATTATAGAAAGAATATTCTATTTGTCTCTTTAATGATTACAGTCAGCCATCTCCTTTCTTTCCCAAAATATCTCACTTTTCCCTGTCTTTCTGTTTTTGTACAGGTCCCTATGCTGTTTATATCATTGTGGTACTCCGGCCCCTGTACACAGTGATCTATTTCCTTATAAAAACTGTCTCTGTTCAACTACACAGAATTTAGGATTATACAGGCAGTCACATGACCTCTTCAGTGGTTTAAGACCCAACGTACCACATGAAAAAACACCATAGGGCTTTCAAGAAAGGATATAAGATAGTATCAGAGAGGTTGAGTTGTAAATGAGAACTTGGGGATTACATGACACCTCTGAAAAGTCTGAGAGCATTAAGCTGGATAGGAAGCAGGAAAAGAATCAGTACTTTTCATGTTATATCAAAGCATTTCTGAAAATTCTCCTGACTTGCTGAAAGCTGTCCCCTTCTTCCCCTTTGTTTCAGTGATCAGAAGCAGGAGGAATGTGGCCTCTGGTCTCTTAGAATTAGTTCCTGGGGTCATTTAGTATCTTAGAAAGTCTTTATGGTGTTTTAGGTAAGAGGAGAAAGTAGACAAATGGATTATTCTTTTTTGCGTCGGGGCACTGAAATCTTGGGAGTGAGGATCAAAGAGTGCAGGAGATGTTGTACATTGATCAAATCCTTCATGATATTCATCTTCTGTATCATAAATCCGTGACAGCCAGAGCTGAACCAGCTGTGCCCCCTCCCATATTTTGTGTACCTATACACTGGTGGGTGGAATGAGGAGCAGAAGAGGCCTTGGCTCCATGTAAGCACTCCTCAGCAATAACTCAAACATCCCTGAATTACCAACATGCTTTCCAGCACAGATTCAAAACATTGTCCCATTCCTGCTATGAAGAAAATTAGCCATACTCAAACCAAAACCATCACATTCTTTAAAAAAAAAAAACAAACCAAACCAAAACACCCTCTTTCCCTGGTTCTTTCTGCCTGTGGGAGATGTTGACAAGGAAGGAAGGAGTTACCAGCACGTTAATGGTTTGGGGTTTGCTTGTGGGAGACTGCTGTTGTTATTGCTGTAGCACCTCTGCATCTGTTTCTGCAAAAGACAGCCCAGACTAGTCTTGAGAAGTCTGGGAAGAGCTTTGCCTTGCAGCAACCACAAAAGATCTGGCTAGATTAAATCCCCTTCTTCCAATTCTGCCCTGGCACTGCCTGCGTTTCAAGCACTGTGCCCTTTTCAAGTTCTCTCATGCTGCAGAAATAGGTGGCTGTGTCTGCAGCTGCTGGGGAGAGCAGTTGCAGCCTCAGCTGGTTCCTGGAGGGGTCTGCAGAGCTGTTGACTCGTTTCTGGAAGGATGCAGCGATGTGCTGGAGTCCTGTGAAAGGATACTGCATCACCAGGTGCTGCAGCTCTTTGCCAGGAGTCTGCCGGATCCAGTCCCACGCGTAGTTGCTGTCAGTGATGGCTACACCAGAGATGTGGCAGGTGAGCCAGACAGACTCTGAGATCTTCCCTGCTGTAGGGCCTGAGGCCGCTGTCTTCACTTGAGAAAGGCCACCTGCAGCCCCAGGAGACAAGGGTAAACAAAAAGCAACAGCTTAAGCAATCAGTCTACTCCACCATGTCCCCATGGTTCTGCTTGTGATGTCCAGGATCCAGCAGCTGCAAACCCATCTGCTCAACAACTCCGTCTCCCTGTAGAACCTCCTATCTTGGAGACGCACACACAGCCTTCCACATTCTCCCACTGAGCTCCCAAATGACCCTCTAGAATTCCCCACTTCCTCTGCTCATCCCTCAGGCAGCAAAACCTGTGGGCTGGATTGAGTGGAGATGAGCTGTGCCCAAAATCACAGCAGGACTATTCACACACCCATCCATTTGGACTGGATACCTGTAATACTGGAAACCAAGGGAAACAGGAAAATTGCTTCTAAGCTGAAGCTCTTAGGGGAAATGAGAAGTGAGAGTGAGTTGGCATGACACATGCCAAGAAGATAAACATAAAGGTTAGAGATCCTTTGGGGAGAGCAAAAGGTAGGATTTCCCTGTTAGAATCAAACATTGGAAAACTCTGTGCTGTGTCTACAGCAACCCTGAACATCTGGGGAACACAGACCCCTTTGAGCTCCGAGGCAGAGAGCTGGGATGCTGACAAGTGGTTTGTGTTCAGCCTCGGCTGGATCTGTGTCTCTGTGCGAACAGCACAGAAGTAGCAGGCGGTGTCCCCAGCACGGAGGAGATGCAGGCTGAGAGATGCCACAGACTGGGAATTGTCCCTGGAGGCTGTGGCTCGACCTTCCACTGCTGACCCAAACTGCGTCTGTGATGAGTAATGGCTTATCCAGGACACCCATTCGAATCTGCCTCTGGGTGCCTGACGATACCAACGAACATAATGATTCTCGAAGGTGAATCCGGAGCCGTGGCAGGAAAGGCTCACGGAGTCCCCGGGCGCTCGCTGCCCTCCGCCGGCCTCCTGCAGCCTCGGCTGTGCGCAGAGCCCTGCGGAGGGAGAGCGCAGGGATCGGGCGGGGCGCGGCCGCGGACCGAGGGCGCTGTCCCGGTGTCCCCGGCCGCACCAAGGTGACAAAACCCGCACGGTGACAAAACCTCCTGCCCCCATCTGCATCTGCCCGTGTCCCTGCTCATCCTTGCCCCAGTCCCTGTCGCTGTCTCTGTCCCTCGTTTCCCCGAGCCAGGCTTGCTGCCCTCCCCGGCCGGCTCTCACCTGCCGGCGCCAAGGCCAAGGCCAAGGCCAGCAGCCCCGGCCCCGGCCCGGCCAACATCGCTGCCGGCGCCGCGGCAGCCGCCCAGGAGGCGAGCGGAGCCGCGCTCGGGCCGCTCCCGCCCGGCCCCGCCTCGCCGGGGCAGCGCCGGCGCCTCTGCCCGCCCCGACTCACCCGCCCCGGGCCCCGGGAGCGCGGCCCCGCCGGGCGGGACAGGCAGCGCCGGCCGCGCCCGGGCCGCGCACGCAAAGCAGCGCTGAGCGCTTGGACAGCGCCTTCTGCCGAAGGGACCCGTGGCCAGCGCGCCCTGAAATTCGCCCAGGCTCTCCTTATATGTCAGCTGTTCCCTTCCTTGTGTTCATGGCCCTCCATTGCATTTGTTCCCCTCTGTCCATGTCCGTCCCAGGCCTGGGAGTCCAGCAGGGCACACATTGGTCCCCAGTCCCAGCAGTGCTGAGCTGAAGAGGATTCCTCCCCAGGGAGCAAGGAGTCAGGACAACATGCCAGGAGGCTGCACGGACAAACGAGGCTGGGAAAAGGTGGGCCCAGTGCTGAATGGGATGGGGACCAGGTGACACAGGATATGGGACAGGGCTGAGGTCCTGAATGCTTTCTTCACCTCAGGCTTCAGCAGCCAGATCAGCCTTCAGGAATTTCATTTCCCAGAGCCCAGGAGGAGAGGCTGGGAGGAGGAATATGTACCCTTGCACAATCCATGTCACTGAACCATGGCCATAATGAAAGGATTTGTCCAGAAGGTTTGCAGGGAAGTCAGTGCTGGGAGCTCAACTGAATGAAGAATGCACAACATCCACTCTCTCCTCACCCAGCAAGACCCTTTGTCTCCCTGTTGAAGGCTGTCAATGTGGCTAAGCCAAATTCCCACTTCCCAAAGCCATGCTGACTGTCCCTTACAGGAAAATGGGCTGGGAGCCAAGGCAAGGCACAGAGGAGAAATGAGGCTGTGCTGGACAGGAGCCCAGGCAATGTGCACTAAACCTGCACTTCCCCAAACTGCAGCCTCTGCAGTTGCCAGGACAGATCCTCCTGCACCATCAATGGTACCAGCCCTTCTGGCAGCCTCCCTCCAGTGCCTTCTAGTGCCCCCAGGCCAGAGGGACGTTTCCTGCACCTGCCATTGCCTGACAAGAGTCCTGGGAAGCAGCTGCTAGAAAGAAATGCTGAGAGATCTGTCATCCCCATCTTCTGGTTTTTGGTTCACTCTGCTGCAGAGCTGCTCCAGGGTGGTTCTTGCTCCACAGTAATACGTTGCTGCATCGCCTGGGGTTGCTGCCAGGAGCTGCAGTGTGATACTGAAGCTCTCCACTGATCCCACAAAGTGTTCTTGGAAGCCTTCTCCATAGATATCACCCTCCCTGTAGATAAATTTGAGAGAGCCCCCTGGGCCCTGACGGTACCAGTACATGAGGTAGCCGCTCATAGACCCTCTCTTCAAGCTGCAGTGGAAGGTGACTTCATCTCCCTCTCGCAGGGTCACTTCCCTGGGGTTCTGCTCCAAGGTCACCTGGCCAGTGACTGCTGCAGAGAGCAAGAACGAGCCACAGTCACTCCAAAATGCAGCAAAGGCCACGGCAATGCTGGTGGTACAGGACAAGTGCTAGGACAAAATCCCCCTCTTGGAAGCCAGCTGACACAGATGGGCAGAGCTGGTGGCAGCTAGCAAGGCTCACAAGGAAGGAGACACCACATTTCCCTCCATTCTTGCCCCAGTAAGACAGGAAGCTTTTCCTGATTTTCCCCAAAGAAGCAGGAGGGATTTGCACCATGGGGGGACAAAAAATTCCTTTGTCCTTGCCAAAACAGGATGGTGAGGAACCCACTGTCCTGTCCTGAAGCTGCTGTGGGTGAGCAGAGCAAAGACCAAGGGCTGTCCCAGGCAGTGGGGCCTGTGCCCTGTGCTGCCATGGCCCAGCTGGTCTGTGCCAGAGGGGCGGCAGTGGCCCAGGAGCAGTGTCCAGTGCCAGGGCAAAGCGCTGGGCCCCGAGATGTGAGTGCAGCAGGGAGGTGCCCTGCGTGTGGCCAGGCTGCAGAGGAGGCAGCTGGCATGGAGGTGCCGAGCTCAGAGGCACAAGAGGAGCAGGGCTGCTCTCGCCGTGCTCCACAGGCAGGGCTGGGCAGCTGGAGCCGGGGCACAGCTGCGGCTGCAAGCGCTCAGCACAGCTGCCCAGAGCCCTGCAGAGCCCAGGGCCACGCTCAGCTCCTGGGGCCAGCAGCCCTTGCCTTCACTTACCTACAATGGGCAAGAAGCCCAGGCACAGGGCACTCCACATGGCCAGGCCCGCTCTCAGTGGCCTCTCTGCAGCTTCTCTGGGCCTGCACAACAGCTCTGCCCACACCTGCCCTGCCTGGGCCTCTGTCACTGCTCTCAGGCCCAGGCCCTGCTGGTCCCTCCCTCTGCCTATGACAACACTGAGGGGGAGAGGTGGAGCACCAGGAGCACAACTTGAAGCTCTTGCTGCCCTCCTGCCTGTCTCTCACTCTTTGTGGTGCAGTAACAGCCCATTTGTTAGGCAGGAAATGCTGTGGTGGGCTAACAGTGACGTGGTTCTGAGGGGCCAGCCCTGGCCTTTCTCTCAGGGAGTCTCCCAGGCTGGGACATTGGAGGTGACCAGGGAGGCTGTCAGCTTGTCCTTCCCTTGGCTCTGCTGGCCCTGCCTCTGCTGGGCGTCTCCTCCCATATGGGACACCCCAGGATCTCAGCTCGGCTTGGCCAGGCCACCCCTAAGCCAAAGTGCTCCTCACCCTGCTCCCAGCACTCTGGCCCTGCACCCTCTGGCTCCCCAGTGGTGACACTTCTCCAGCTGCCTCTTCCTCTCAAAGCCCTCACGGAGCCCTGCCCAGCAGCAAAGGCAGCCCAGGACTCTGCAGGTGCTTTGCATGTTCCACTTAAGAAGGGGACCAAGGAAGGCTGAGTGAGACTGGAGCCAGGCAGTCACCAGGCTGACTGCATGACAGAAAAACCTTGAAGCTCCTCTACGGAGTAGAACATTGCAATTGGGACTCAGGGGAAGGAAAGCCTCAGTGCTGGGAAAGGAGCTCTTGATGAAAGGCCAGGATCACTGGTGCTGCTTGGGGATGGCACCTGATTTCTCAGGAACAGCCCTGAAGCACTTTGGAATTCACCATCTCCAAATTTCGTGGGTGCTGATCCAGCCCCGAGCTGGTTTGTGTTAAAGCCAGGCTGGGTTTCCTGTGCCCGTGTGAACAGCGCAGAAGTACCGGGCAGAGTCACGGGGCTGCAGGGTCAGCAGGGAGAGATAAACCTCGGCCCGGGAATTGTCCCGGGACATCTTGGCCCTCCCCTGCACTGACTGGTCAAAATAAACAGCTGTCGCATCAAAACTAATAACGGACACCCACTCTGGGCTTCCTCCGGGTGCCTGACGGTACCACCAAATATGATAATCCTCGAAGATGAATCCGTATCCACGGCAGGAGAGGGTGACGGAGTCGCCGGGCGCTCGCTGCCCTCCGCCGGCCTCCTGCAGCCTCGGCTGTGCGCAGAGCCCTGCGGAGGGAGAGCGCAGGGATCGGGCGGGGCGCGGCCGCGGACCGAGGGCGCTGTCCCGGTGTCCCGGTGCCCCCGGCCCGGCACAGCCACAGCCGCCAGCCCCGGCCCACAGCCCCTGTCCCTGGGTCTGCCCCGGCCTTTGCCCGTGTTCCCTGCCCTGCCTCTGCTCCTGTCCTTTCCTCAGCCTCTGC